CTACCTGTAGGATTGCTGGGTTACATAGTAGTTCAATTTTTAGTTTTCTGTGGAAACTCCCTATTTTCCACAATCACTGTACTACTTACCCACCAATAGTATAGAAGAGTGCTTCATTTTCTGCATCCTCACGAGCATTCATTACTTTTTATCCTTTTGATAAAGATATTCTGAGTCAGGAGTAATGCTATCTCACTGTGGTTTTGACTGGCACTGTATGAGTGCCAGTATTTCTCGTTAGTGATTTCCAGTTTTATTCTATTGTGATCAGCTAACATATTCTATGTCATTTCTATCTAAATTTTTTTTTAGATTTGTTTTGTGGCCTTAAATGTGGTCCACCCTGGAGAACAATCTGATGTACATGCTGATGAGAAAAATGTGTATGCTGCAGTTGGTGGTGGAACGTTCTGTAAATGTCAGGTCCATTGGATCTGTGGCCCAGTGTCAGTCTGATGTTTCTTTGCGAATCTGTCTAGATGATCTGTCCATCCAGTGCTGATTTGGTGATGAAGTCGCCAACAATTATTGTACTGAAGTCTATCCCTCCCTTTAGCTCTAATAATAATAGTTTTATATGTCTGGGTGCTCCCTTGTTGGGTGCATATATGTTCACAACTGTTATGCCGTCTTACTGAATTGTCATTATAAAATGGGATTCTTTATCTCTTTTACAGTGTTCTAATTAAAGCATATTTTACCTGGTATCAGGATAGTAGCTTGTTTGTGTGGACTATTTTTTTTACATCCCTGACTTTCAGCTACGTGTTAATGGGCACACTCAGGCTCCCCGACCCCCATCCTTCCCAGCCTCTAGCAGTCATTCTTCATCTTTCTACTTCTATTGGTTTGTTTTTTAAACAGGTGATGTGAGTTTCTTGTAGGCAGTATATACTTGGTTTCTTTCTTCCCATTTCATCCATTCTGTTATTCCATACCCGTTAAATGAGAGTTTTACCTGTTTACTGTTTACATTCAGGGTTCTAATAGATAAAACTTTTGCTAGGTGTTTTCTGATTGTTATGTGTATTCTTTTGTTTCTTTTTTTCCAATTTTATTGTCTTTAACTGTGGTTTTGTGATTTTTTTTTTTTTTTGTAGTGAAAGGGCTTGATCCTTTCTCATTTGTGCATCGTCTCCCAGTATGCTGTTTTTTGGGGGTTTTTTTTCCATGTTTCTTTACGGTGGTATTGACCTTTTGCTTCCAAATGTTGGACTCTTAAGAGTTGTAAAGCCGGTCTAGTCATAGTGTATTCTCTCAATTTTTGCTCATTTGAAAAAGGCTTTCTTTCTCTTCCTATTCTGAAAATAGATTTGCTGGGTATAGTATTCCTGGTTGGCAGATTTTTCTTTTAGCGTTTTGAACATATCATCCTATTCTGAGTCTGTACAGTTTCTACAGAGAAATCTGCTGTTACTCTGATGGAAATTCCATTACATGTAACTTGATGCTTTTCTCTTAATACTTTCACAATTGTCTCTTTTGAGTTTCGTCATCCTAATTATAATATGCCTCAGCAAGGACCTCTTTGGCTTGAAACTGCTTGGAGATCTTTGAACTTCTGTCAGGTTGTCCATGTATCTTCCAGCACTTGCGAAGTTTCCAGTTACTATTTTTATCAAGTAAATTTTCTGTTCCTGTCTTTGTCTCTTCTCCTTTCAGTACTTCCATAATAAAAATATTTGTTCACCTGATGATATCCCAGAAATCCTGTAGGGTGTCTTTTTTTTATTTTCCTCCCTTAACGGGGAATGATCGCATAAGATTTATCTGCTAGGCCTAAAATTCTTTCTTGTGCTTATTCTAGTCTGCTGGTGAAGCTCTCTGTTGTGTTTGTTTTTCTGTAAACAAATGAGCATGGCTCATCCTCACAAAAACAAGCCACAGGTCTCCAGGCTTTGGTTACTGGACCCTAGTGTGGCCTCAACACTTGGCAAGTTCACGTGTTTTGGGATTTCTCTCTGTTGAGTTTTTCCTTCTGTTCTTGTATCATTAACCTGATTTCAATGAATTGTCTATTGGTATACATTATTTATCTCCCTGACTTTTTTAGAATAATTATTTTAAATTCCTTCTCAGAAAATTTCCCTTTATTCAGGATCTATTACTGGATACTTATTACATTCCTTTGGAAGTGTCAAGTTTCCTTGATTTTTTTTTTTTCATGACTCTTGTGTTCCTACAAGAGTATCTGTGCATCTGGTGGGGTAGTCGCCATGTCCAGTTTTGGGGGTAGCTTTCTAAGTGGAAGAGTTTTTCATGAGAACAGTTTATCCTTTCTGTTGATTAGGTAAGCGTTTTGGTTTTGGATGGGTATAGCAGTATAGTCTCTGCAGGTTTTTGTTGTGGTGGTTGTATTCATGGACAGTGCTGGCTTTGAGTGTCTTGGTGTTGTAGATTTCAAATGCAGTTTTGTGGTAGGTGGGGATGACCAAGTGAGCTACTTGGCCATAAGCAGTGGCAGAGGCTGGGGGGGGGTTGTCTGCAGTCTCCAGCAAACCTATTAACTCCAGCAGTGAAGTTACCTGGGATGGCAGGGTCAGAGTGCTGGTGGGAAGAGTCTGGAGGGCCTTCGTGGTGGTAGGACTCAGATGCTGTAACTACAGTCAGTGTTGGACTCAGCGATGGTAAGGAGTGGGGGTCGGCTGTGTCTGGAAGGCCTTTGCAGAAAGGACAGACCCGTGTGCTTGAGCTGCAGTATCAGGCCCCACATCTGTTAGTAACAGGGGCTTAAAGGGCCTGATGGGAAAGATTACCTTTTATATGCATCTGTTAATTGAGGAAGCCCAAATCATTTAGAAATAATTCTCTATCATCGTGCATCAGTGTTGAGGCTGCACCAGGGTCCAAGAACCACAGCCTGGAGACCTGTGGCTTGTTTTTTGTAAAACTGTATGGGAATACAGCCACGTTCACTTGTTTACACATCCTCCACAGTTGCTGTCACGCTACACGAACAGAGCTGAGGAGTCGAAACAGAATACATGAACTGCAAATCCTGAGCTATTTACCATCTAGCTCTTTGCAGAAATCTATCAATTTCAGGATTACATCAAAGAAGCCTAACTCAAGAAAGGTTAAAAATAAAAACAAACTGTAATGGACTATCCTGAGGAAAACTAGCCACCCAAGACGTCACTATGAGCAGCTTTCCATTCCTTATACCTTTTAGAACATCTGATGTCCCCAGAACCACACTCAGGCCACACTGAGTATAAAGGGTTACAAATATTCAGATTTTATTATAAATAAAATACTGTTTTTTTTTTAAACATATAAAATGCCAAGTGTTGCATTTTATTAACCACCCTGAAGAGCAAGACTGTAGAGATTAAGGCAAACAGTGAAGGTGAAGGCACATGTAAAGGGCCACAGTTGGAATTAGAGGGGAACGTTCCAGGGAACGGCGGCAGTACCTACTCCCTGTGACACCCAGAATTCTGCAGCAGCCACCACGTCAGTATTACTATAGAAAGTACAGATTAACTGGAACTAAACAATGAAATAATGGCTATATTGCAGGAGTGTAATTAAGGTATCATCTTGTAAAGAATTTTCATTTTAAAAATAAAATTCTGTTTAAAAATATGCCACACAGATGGAAATGAACAGGAAAAAAAAAAAAATGAAACCAGAACAAAAATCCCACTGTGGCCTAAGACTTGCTGGAGCGAACCTGACCCAAACTCCTTTGGCAATCTATCTTCCGTCCTTTCCCTGCAACCTTGACCAAAATGCTCACATCAGGATATGGCCACTGTTTAGGTAGAGGAACCAGGCAGGAAGCACTGATGTGAACACTTGGCAGGAAAGAGCCACACCTCTTGTGAGGGTAGAAGAAGCCAGAGAGAAGCAAGAGTGAAAGCTTAGGGCTCTGCTGGGTCCGCTCTGGTATGCCCCATGGAGAAGGACCGGGGAGGTGGTATCACTGAGAACTCAGGACCCACCTCTCCCAGTCTCCGAGGAGTACCTCTGTCCCTGATGTCCACAAAGTGCTCACCTATAATGTGCTCCCTTCTAAAACTGTCTCCTCCTGGTCAAACTGCAGTCAAGGCCTTTCTAGCTCATTCCTGACTAGATCCACATGGTGTCAAAGATCTCATTCTGCAAACTTTCTCAGTCCCATCCTATCCCGTCACCCCGACATTCCTG